TCATATATCGATCACACAATCAATGCTTTTGTAATTCAATTCAAATCTCAATTCAAATTCAGTCCTATTTTTGTACACAAATTAATGTCAATATATTGTGAATCATATAAACAGTCGTCAAAAACGTCATGAAAAACACATTTCAATGTAAACCCCTTTTTGTCATATGTTTTGCTTGTACAGGGTGACATATTTTATAGGAACTCCCCTGGGCGCAGTTATCCCTATCACAAGCGTGCGTTGCTTAGCAACACAATACCACTTTTGTTGTTTTCAACGGTTTTTAACAAATGTTGTATTGTGTTGCTAAGCAACGCACGCTTGTGATAGGGATAACTGCGCCCAGGGGAGTTCTTATAAAATATGTCACCCTGTATTTCAATGCATTCATTGCCGGCTTATATATGATTGACATTATTTATGGACAGCTATTGTGAGTACGAATAGTGACGCGAATGTCACGTGATTTGCACACATTTTGTCGGCATTTAATCACATTATTTACAAACAAATAATGAATTGATTTATAAATAGTTTGATTGAAATGTCAAACAATTACAAGATTTTGGTTTATTTTCTCAAATCATTTGGCAGTTCATTGAGAATAGGTTTGGGTCTCAGGAACCGATCCATCGATCAATTGGTCTCAAAAGACTTGTTGAATGAATTGAGTGGTACTGTGAGGAAGAATTGCAGACAATTTGAGTCAATTGTGGACAGAAATGGTCGCAAACAGACCACAAGAAGTGGTCATCAAAACCACCGAAATGTATGTCTTATTGTCGTTATTATTGTTTTGCAAATCATTTACAATTTATTCAATATTTAATTATTAGTGTTTTATAATTAAACTTTTAATTAACAATTTAATAATTAGTTATTTTGAGACAAAAATATAATTAGGTTTTTGTTATGCAATACTTGTAGAGAAAGACTTCGATGAATAGGTCTGAAGTGATGGACAGGTCTTATATGGTATACGAAGGCATTCGTCAATACTTGCAATACGTGTCCAAAAATAAGTTGAATTCAAATCAATTTGTTTCGCGAATGAGTGNCTTATATGGTATACGAAGGCATTCGTCAATACTTGCAATACGTGTCCAAAAATAAGTTGAATTCAAATCAATTTGTTTCGCGAATGAGTGGACAATCAGTGGTAATACCGGTGCAACACATCCATCAAAGTTAGTCTTATTTCCCAATAATAGCTGACATTAATTTGTGATTAACTGTTTGTTAATTCAATTCCTATGTATTGAATATATTTTGATAATTTATGGTTTAATTTAATAGACAATCACATCATCGATGGGATACGGGTTAATAAAAGGGATATAACTAATGAAGAGTTTATTAACGATAATATAATGATTGATCCAATTATTGGCCAAATAAATGAAAACAAAGTCATTGATAAACCTGTGAATGAAAGTAAAGTGATTAACAATAAACCATTTGTAGCCAAACCTCCGCTTAACGATAATCTCAGACAAAATTTGAGCCAACGATCAAAAGAGCGTAAAGTGCCGGCCAATAGAGTCAGTCGTATGGCTTCATTCGGCAGTTTAGCCGTTGGTCTCGGATTCGGTGCACTCGAAGAGATCACCAAAAAAACGTTAGGATTTTCATCCGGTTCTTCGCAAACCATTTTGGGTTCAAATCCATTGTTAACGGAAGCGAATGCCAACAGAATAGTGGATACTTTATGTCGTGTGAGGGGAGCGGCCCTTAAATTGGGACAAATGCTTAGCATTCAAGAC